TGGAAAACTTAAATTGGGATTTTCATTATTTTTTTCAAGATACAATAAAACCACACAGATACTAGCAGAATATTGAATTATCAAATAATAACACACACACACACGCACACATTTTTTTTAAATTAGTTTTTATTTATTTATTTATTTATACATATATATATATATACTCTGCAGGGTCCGAGATGGTGTAAGGTAGGGCAGCTTACTTGGGACCAGAAAGTCGCAGGGTCAACTCCCCTGCCAGCTGCCCACTTCTCCACCTGGGTGTACAACACATAATTTCAAAGACAAACATAGTACTGTAATAAAAAAATGTAGACATTTATATAAATACAAATGCCTAAAATTTATATATTTGTGAAAACAGCAGCAGTCTGGATTTTAATTGTGGTTTCATAAAAGTACTTTTCCTGCTGCATGTAAAAAAAAAAAGAAAAAAACTAGAAAGCAAAAGGAAGTGACGTAGTTGTCATCAGCGAACTTCCGCTTTGCACGTGTGTTTATTGAAAGTGTGGCGACTAACCGGTAGCCGAAGCAGCTTATTAACCATAGCAGTTTATTTTCATTAGCTGTTTGTGTATCAAAGGAACTATGGGGAAGTTTAATGTGGTGATGCTGAGATACTTATCTCGAGAGGACTTCCGTGTCCTCACCGCTGTAGGTACCGAGCTAACCGACCGGTTGTGTTCGAGCACAGTTAGCCTGAGCTAGGCTAGCTGGACCGTTTGACCGAATAACCTGACCCAGTCTCAGCTAAACATAGAGTAACAGCTGATGTTTGTTTAATATAACTTTATGGAGCTAAAGGTATTGCTGGTGATCGAGAGGAAAATCCCTTATAACAAGTGTAAATACAAGTGGTTAAATTGTAGTACGATTAACACCTCATTTTATTAGCCATCTACCAGTATTTGCATGCCTCATTGTTTAGTACTGTGCAATTTAATATAAAATTTAATAAACGAGTATTAATTATAATCAAACAGATTAGCCTAAGCATTATCTGTAACCCTGAGCAGATGGAAAGTATAGATGGCAAAAACTGTTCAATCTCACCAGTTCATCTTTCTGCTTTGTGACTGTGTATCCCACACTCATGATCTTTCTTTTGTTTCTCTGTGAACTCTCCTCGCTCAGGTCGAGATGGGGATGAAGAACCACGAGATTGTTCCAGTCAGCCTTCTGTCATCTATTGCAAGCCTCAAACATGGTGGCTGCAACAAAATCCTCAGAGAACTTGTGAAACACAAACTTGTGGTCTATGAACGTACTAAAAGTAAGAGCTGGCATTATGTCGCACCTTGAGATGGAGACAATGGCTGGTAGATCAATTTTCTGAAGTCCTGTGTGTTGGTTTTAGCTGTGCAGGGCTACAGATTGAACTATGGAGGATACGACTACCTGGCTCTGAAGACTTTGTGCTCCAGAGAAGTGATACTGTCAGTTGGCAACCAGATGGGCGTGGGCAAAGAGTCAGGTAGAAAAATAAACACCATTCATATAAATACTAGTTTTAGAAGCTTCTTTTTATTGGACCTGTGATTTGGTAGATATCAGTGATGTCATGCAAACTGTTTTATTTAATTTAATGGCGTTTACTTGAAATCAAGTGTTTAGTGATTGAACTTTGCAGGAAACATGTTACAAAATTACAGAAATGTCGTATCAATAAACTTATAACCTTCAGTTTAGGACAAGATTTATGGCAACAAATTTTCACTCATTTATCTTCAGTCATAAAACAGTTCTAAAAATTCAAAAGAAATAAAGCAGAATTCTATTTTTGGTCATTCCCATAAAATTTACCTGCTTAAGAATTGGAACTAAATTTCTATTCACTTTGTATAGATATATTTATTGTGGCGAGTCCAAATGGGGAGCAGTACGCTTTGAAGCTCCACAGGCTGGGTCGTACCTCCTTCAGGAACCTAAAAAACAAGAGGGATTACCACAAACACCGGAAGAACATGTCCTGGCTGTACCTCTCACGTCTCTCTGCCATGAAGGAGTTTGCCTATATGAAGGTAATGAGTCAAACAACAGGAAGTTATGAAGAACAGAAAATCTTTGCCATCAATTAGGGAAATGTGAAACAGCGATCATTTAGCATTATTTTTAAACTGACTCCTTTTTCTTCCCAGGCTCTGTATGATCGAGGCTTTCCTGTTCCCAAGCCTGTGGACTATAACAGACATGCTGTAGTGATGGAGCTCATCAATGGATATCCTCTGTATGTAAATCTAATTTCTTGCTTTTCATACTGCATGGTACACTAATGGGTTTTCCTCACCTCATATGTAAGCATTATCCTGCTCTTGCAGGTGTCAAGTTCATGAGTTGCAGGATGCAGCTGGTCTTTACAGTGAATTCATGGACCTTATCGTGAAGCTGGCTAACCACGGCCTGATTCATGGAGACTTTAATGAGTTCAACCTGATGCTGGATGACCAGGACCACATAACTATGATCGACTTTCCTCAGATGGTGTCTACATCACACCCCAATGCTGAATGGTGGGTTCTTCAATTTGAGTTAAAATCAATGTAATTATGAGAAGAAGAAAAGGTTTACTTACCACGTCAACTGTTTTTTGCAGGTACTTCGACCGCGATGTGAAGTGTATCAAAGATTTTTTTGCAAAGCGATATAATTATGAAAGTGAGCTCTTTCCAACTTTCAAGGACATCAGGTATCTTCTTATATTTTATAGGTTAAAGGAAATACTGTTGTGTACACTGTGTACCTGCTAGAAACACACCTGACAATTATTTTATGAGTTTTGACGTTCTTAGAACAGCTGTTTTTTCTGCTGGTTCCTGCAGGCGCTCTTGTTCTCTAGATGTTGAAGTCTCAGCCAGTGGATTCACAAAAGATCTGGAGACAAATGGTGCATTACTAGACCCAAGTGGACCTGAGCAGGAAACTGATGAAGAAGAAGAAGAAGATGAAGAAGAGGTGACAGATGAGGAGGCAGAAAGCGTGGAGGAAAGTGTGGACATAGAGGAATATAACCAAACAATGCTAGAACTAGAGGGATTGAAAGTGAGTGAACTACATGCAAAGATACAAGATCAGGAGGAGGAACGTAGTAAAGAGACAAAAGAAGTAACTCGGATGGCATCAAGTGCTGAAGCTGATGAGGAAACAGGCAAGGAGTTTGAGGAAGAGTTAAAGGAAGAAGATGATGAGTGTCCGGAGCTCACAGACCTTTCTGCTTCCAACAAAGAGTTAAAACCTTTCAGGTAAACTCACTGGAATGATGACACAGTAAAACTCCAACACATTGGCCTCTTCATCATTTATAAAACTTTAAAATTAAATATTTTTCTGAAGTAGAATCCTAGTCAGTAAGACTTATGTATCCTGAACATGCTCTAATTACCTTCTGCAAACGTAAGCTAAAAGCACATGGAATATTTTTGTAATTTCTAAACTGTTGATGTTTATTACAGAATTGAATGTACAGTGATGTCACTTATTTCAGTGGGATTTGTACTTTTAATCAATGTCAAATATGTTCATTAGACAGAAGAAGCAAAAGCAGCTCAAACCTGCAGTTGTGATCTTACCACGTCTTCGTCTAGGAGCGGGCAATAAAGCAATCACAAAATTAAATAATAAGTTTATGATGACGTTTAAGATTAGCATTACGTCGATCAACAAACAGCTCATCGCTCAGCACAAACGAGGACTACAAGAACCAAAGTTTCAACCGTTTTAAGGCCTTTGCTTTGTTACTGCTATTTCCACAAAGCATCATTACGACTAGCAGCAGTTACTTTAAGGAGAATGGGTGCACCTGCTAAGAAGTTTAAAAGTGAGGATAAGACCAAACATTAATTTGCATCATCTTCCCTAGCTGTTAGAGTGAGGAAAGAAAATGTCCACCAATATCAGTGATATGACTGTGGCTTGAATTGTGTTAAATCAATGAAGATTAAAGGTTTCCTCACACAGTGTTAATACTTAAAGCAAGCTGTTCAGGTGTATTTTGCAACCCATTCACCTATATAATATTTTGTTACAATCCAAGTTAACCATGTTTCCCTACACTATAAATCAGATACTACGCTTCTAGTTTAAATGTCATATAGACGTACACAAACTTATTCTGGGTCGGAGCAGTGTTTGCATAATGTGGTGTACATTGTGTGCAGACTTTGCCCGTTTAATTTATTGCTAGCTTGTGCTAAAATGTAAATAGTGCAGTACCAGACAAAGAACAAGCCCTTTGTGTTTTGCAGTTGATGAGGTAAGGCGGTGAGATTCTCTCATCATTGCAAAAGCACAACATTTAATTTTCTTTATTTTGCTTATTGTGTTAAGTTTCCAGAGTTGTCATAAAGTACATCTTCACCACTGACCTTGTGCTTGTGTTTAAACTGCAACTAAACAGAAGTGATCTTTATTTCACACGTGGTTTTAAAAAATTAAAGCAGTTAGCCACCATTTTAACACATGTAGCATCAAAAACAGCATTAACAGAGGACAAGCCCCAATTATATCTTAAAAAAAAGGTAAATAAACATTTAAGTTTATTGCATTGTGGCAATTTCAAACACTGGGCTGAGATTTTGCCTTGCATGAATCAAACTTCATAGCTGATTTGTGAATAAAGCCTATGTTTGTGTCATAATATTAGTTGGATGTTTTTCTGCTGCAGAGATTTGGACAGTCTTCAGCACACCGCAGAACACAGAAGAAGAACAGACAGTGAAGCCACGATGAACAGCATCGGGAGCTGCTCCACCATATCACCGGCAAGTATTACACTGTTGTCTATAGGTGTGGCCGAGAGAGCTGGGTGTATTATATTATTTTAAAATACCAATCTGCCATCTGATTTGAATACATAAAAACACATTTTTACCTGGAAACAAATTCACTGTAGTAGGAAAAACTGTTCAGTCTTGTTAAGTGCTGCTAAAGTGTCTTCACACAAGTCGAGCAGTTTGTAAAAGTTTGTAAAATGTTATTCTTGTAGACACACACACAGTGAGCACGTTAATTCTGCACTAACTTGTCGTCATTGCACATTCTGCAGGAGGTCGTCCGTCAGAAAGTGCGGCGGCAGCTCACCAAACAGCAGAAGTCGGCACAAAGGAGGCGTCTGCAGAAAGGAGAGGCCAGCTTGGTGACAAAATCTAGAAGGGAGAACCAAAGTACCATCAAGTCCAGCATGGAGAGCGCCTCCTTCTGGGGATAAGTCATAACATCAGATGGACAAAGAATTCATGTCAACATGCCTTTTATCTCCTGGGAATAATCTTAAACACATCGTGATGGATGGAATAAAATATGAAGAGAATTGCTGTTCAGCCAATCATCTGCTCCTACTGTTGTAGAGAAATCGATGATTATTGACAAAAAGATTCAACTGATTGTATTTCTGTCTGAACACATTCTCCTAAACATGAGTACTGAGTTTTTTCAGTATTAATCTATGGTCTGTTTATATAAAATCCAATATAATTTTTAACCATTTAGTATAATAAAGTGGTGTTATGTACAATGATCTTTTACAGTGCACAACTGCTAAACTGTGTTGTGTTACAGAGACTAATGAGAAACAACCCTGAAACTATTTCACATCATAACACTGTTTTCTATAAAACTAACACTTGCTAGTCAAGTAAAACTTTTGTTTCCTCATTAAACATGCAAAAATGTTGACACGGCTGCAATAAACAAAACATAAAGTGCTTTAATCAAAGTTACTGCTCTGCTTTGGTAATGTGCAATGCATATAAGTTTTTTTTATGTTAAACTCTGACTATTGGACTTAAAGTCATGATTTTTTTTTTAGATATAGTAAATACACCTGCTACTTAAATAAAACATGACACAGAGAAGAAAATGATGAGAACCTGGTAGATAAAAACACACTTTCTGCAGATTTTGCTTAATTTATGTGCAAGAAGTTTTAAGAAAAGGGCTTGAATTCCTACTTGAACAAAGGCCATTCACAGAGAAGAGGCTGAATGGAGCTCAGACCCCAGACTTAGTTGGTCCAAATTTGAGTGAAGTCAAAAAATATCCCTCCCCCCACATGTCCTAGTTAATCTTCGATGGACAGAATTGTCGCTGTGACGTCACATTCTATTTAAATGATAAATGTATTAATTTTTTTTGTTTTTAAAGCAAAATACTTATGATTTCTTATTCACTTGGCAACTTTGTGCAGGTCTTAAACTGTCCAGCTCTGTGCGGGGATTAACCAGCTGCACAGCCAGAGGGGAGGGGTTCTGCATTCCAGCTCTACACCTCTGTTTGTGTGCATGTGCCAAGGGAGCGAGGGGCCCCCTGAGCTAATTGGCAGGGAGAGTGACAAAGGTGGTCTGCTTCAAAAGAGAAACCCTAGTGAGATGTTCACACGAGTGGAGGAGGAAGAGAGATGCCTTCATATTTTGGAGTTTCCCCCATCCTGAGCAGGGATCGCAGTGTTGGCTGCTAATTATCAGTGTCGTGTTTTGGTTGTAGCAGTGACACTAAACTTGGGATGAAGATGAGTTATGTGAAACTGGAGGAGAGCATCATGTCGTACCTGTCGCAGAGCGAGACTCGCACCAGCCCCAAAGACTGTAAGTTACAATAAAACTAGATTTGATCTTAGTTTTATAGGAAAATAATAGTTTTAGTTTGTGTGATTATTTTAGAGGTGTGCTTTCATGTCACTCACAAATGTCTAAGTTATCCCTGCTACCACAACGTGAATTGTAATTTTTAGCCTAAAATGAGGGAATGTGGGGACATGACATCATTTCCACGGTCTGAATAAGCTTGTATTAGAAACTGCTAATCTGAATAAGTTCTGGGGTGTTTCCTTCAGGTTCCAATAAACACACAAAGGAATGTTGGCGTACCATATATTCTGGTTTAAAGTTTATGTATAACTGCTGAACGGTCTTAAGAAATAATTTGTGTGTTAAATGTTTATCGTCATAATTTTATGTATAAATGTAGCACGCCAACATCATGGATGGTTTTATCAGTGGGATATCTGTGTTTCCAGTGAATGTGGTGGCCCTTCTTCATAACTTCTGGGAGCAGAAGCACGGAGCTCCGCTCACTAATCCACCCAGTGAATCAGAAGGTTTTGGTGGGAAGATGCAGACAGAAAGTCTTCTGTTGTACGAGTCTGCACCTTCTCCTGGTCCTCCATACATCTGCTACGTCACACTTCCTGGAGGAAGCTGCTTTGGCAACTATAAAGTGTGTTCCTTACCATCACCGCTGTTTATAAATGTTACTTTACTTGATAGTTTATTTTGCATGCTTCTACAGGGCTGCTGGAAATGTCATATTTGGTGAACCAACCAAATATATTTATCCTACAATCTGCTCTAAATATTCTAAAAGTAAAACAGGAAGCAAAATAATAATAACGGTAATATCAGCTGCTAATGTATTCATTATTAACAACAATTGGTGGTAACTTTAAGATTGATGAGTAATTCCATGATGTGTGGAAGAGTTGCTGAAGCAGTTGCTGAAGCCAGGTTATAAAGTGAGGTGATGAGCAGAGTGTTGTTGCGTGCCCAGAGAGTGCACTACAGATGTGAAGTTTACTTTAGTGTGGATGAAGAAGTAAAGAGAATGTCAGAGAAGCTGCACTGTCCCTTTGTGGGTAAAGAAGGCAAATGATGGAGTTCCAAGAGAGAAACTGGGAGAGAGAAGTGGTAGTAGCAGGTGGCAGAGAGGACGATGTTAAGGTTTTTATTGGGAATGACCAAATAGACTGGATTTGAAAGGAGTATGTCAGAGACAGAGCTCACGTTCCAAGACCAAACAAAAAAAATAATAATTAAAAACATGCAAAACCAGATATAAGCAAGTCTCTAAAATATGTCAAATATCTAAATCATAAGCCTTACAAAAAAATAAAAGTTTTAATCTGGATTTAACCCTCTATATATGGCATGAATTTTTTATATTAGGAGGAAAAAAAAGCACTCTTGTTTTTAGGAGTTTGGGGATCCCTGATAATATATTGATCACAAAATGTGCCACCACCAGAATTTTGGTTTGTTGCCTCAGGCCAACAAGATGCTATAAAAGTACTAAAAGGCCAAGATTTTCTATTGTATAATATTAGAATGAGGAACAAACGAGAAATAAATACATTAGAGGAATCAAAGTTCATGCTCAATCATCCAGGTAAAAAGATCCAGCAATGTTCAGTCAGGTCATCTGGACAGGACAGTTCCTTTATTTTATTTATTTAGTTATTTAGTTGTTTATTGCCTTCCATCTGAAGGGCTGACGAAGCCCTTCAGATGGAGGTGAAACGTCTCTTAACAAACAAAAAAAAATGTCCAGATGACCTGACTGAACATTGTTGGACATTAGAGGAAGTTTTATTTCAATAACAACAATTTCATCTAGTGTTTTTATGTTTGTTTGTTTTCCCCTCAAAAAAAACCCCAACAGAATTTTATTCTCAATCGGGAGGTTAGAAATAGGCTGTACTTCCAGATTGCCTTCAAAAAATATATATTTTTAAATATTTTTAAGAGGATTGTCTGATTTTGAAAAGCAGATGTGCCATTCTGAGTAATCAGTGATGTTGGAACTGTGGGATGTTCTCCACCCAGGTGAAGGTGGAACATCTTCCTTAGACAAATCTTCTTTATCCACAGACTCATGTTCATCAGACAGGCCATCTGTTTTCAAAATATATATCAGGAGGCATGAAGAGAGTAGGTCATAAACCTCTTCACCTGCTGATACACACACATCACATCATATCCAGGTGGTTCCACTGCTGACTGAACCCTGATCTCCATCATCTCCCTCACACCTTCTGGTCCACTCTTCCTCACTGTCGAAGGACTGAGCCTAAACAGTTCCATCAAGTTTCTTGTTGCACCCATAAATTTTTTTGTATCTGTTTTCTGTAGTGGATAATACAGCAAATATATGTATTAGAGAGTTAACTCTGCATTTCTGCTTCTGTTACTGGTCAAACTAAAGTGGTCCAACTGCACAATGTTGCCCTGAGGCAACAAATGAAAAACTACCATTTCTGCATATAAATAAAGTCAAAAAGTGTATTTACTAAATCAAATATGCTCATGCACATCACAGATGTTTTTTGTACAAAGTATTTTAAAATTAAACATACTAAAAAGTGAAATTTATCTCACCTTCTGCTAGCAGTAAGTGTACCCAAGGTGCCTGTGGTGCCAAAGAGGATGGTTCCACCCCCAGACAAAAGGCCACATGCTCTTCAAGCTCAAATTTTATTGGTCACAGACTTATCCTCGGATTTTTAAAAGGATTTGTTTTTTTACTTGAAAAAATTTCAGGATATGGTGTGTGGGCCAAAATAGTGGTTTGTTGGCTGAGGGCCATGCCATAGAGGGAGATGCTCACATCTGTGGATAATTTGTTTAATTTCTGTGTGGCATTAAAGCTAAACGCTTCTTCACCGTGGCAAAGCTGAAATTGACAGGACATGTACAGAGAATGGATAGTGAACATACAGTGTATATATAAAAAAACAAAGGATGTTTAATATGAAGCTGTCAGGGAGGAGGAAAAAGGATGGACCGCAGGGAAGGTTCATGGATGACAATATGAAAGGAGTCGAAGGGGTCGAGAGAGATGATGTGCTGTAGCAGGGAGCCACAGAAAGAAGAAAAAGGAGGTCATATAACTAATTGCAAAAGTGAAACCACCATTGATCATGCTTATTTATCAGTGACTAAGAGGAGAAAAGCACAAAATATATTAATTCTATGACAAAAGGGCTTTTTTTGGCCAATAAGAAACGCATTGAGAAACGCTTGGTAGAATCTAGATGAGGGTGAAAAATTCTTATTTTCAAGTGGATCAGCGAAGGTCTTGTGATTGGTTGTGTTTAAATGTCTCTAGTGTCCTAACTTTGACAGTGATTTGTTTTCTGATCCCACAGTTAGCTGCATGGACATGTAAAATCATTCAAAACTGTAAAAGTATGATGCACGTCCACTGACCCTCATATTTCTGCTTTACTTTGCTTTTATTCCATCTTCTCATCTTGTCCCCATTATGCATTATTTCGGTTGTACGTTTTAATCCGTGCCTGTCATCATCATCATCCCCATTCGTCCTCAGGTGTGTGACACTCAAGCGGAGGCTCGCCGGGACGCAGCTCGTGTGGCTCTGATGAACTCGCTCGTCAACGAGCTGCCTTGTCGACGAATCAGCTCCGAGTTCATTACACAGAGCTTGAATCAGGCAGTCAGAGAGAGTGCTGTGAGTGCAAAAGAACTACAAGTTAGCATTATCAGTCCCAAAATGAATCTGGATCTGCGCTGCTCTCTGTGTAAAGGTCTCTTCGGATGATGCGTGCGATTCGAGCACCAGTATAGGAACCTACAGCCTGCTGCTGCACTCCTACATGGGAAGGACCATGCTGGAGTTCCAGGTGAAACAGAAAGTTGTTGTTTTATTTTAACTATGCTCATAAATCATGTGGTAAACACAAATGGCCTACTGTAATTAGTTCACATTTTTGTGTCTTTTTCTCTTGGTTCTTTTTTGCACTAGGGGATCTTGTATATTGTAAGCAGACTATGAGCTTCAGTGTTATACTTAATTAGAAAATATATAAGTGGTAATACAGCCTTTCAATAAATTTGTTACATTCCAAGATTTCAGCTAAATGTAGTATCGACCTTGACAGAAAGATGAGGTACAAACAGCCAATATTTCTACCTTTGTGTAAATAAACATTACTGCAGACAGTACAAATGTGTTTATTATTAATTATCCTACAACTCGTGAAAAATGGAAACCCTCTAAGAAATACACACACTACATACATGCACAATTCACTAGAATTTGGACACATTAAAAGCAGCACACACTGTTTCACAAAGCTTGCATCTTCATATAGTTTATAGATGTACTCACATGTTGTAACATGAAGGTGTAACTTAGAAAATCGTAGAAAACAAACAACTTCAACTCAGGAAAGCTGATGCTTTCCATCTGTGACCCATTAGATCAGTTTCAGACTTGGTGTTTAACATCGATGTCACCAGCTCCGAACACACAACAGCTGCTCAGCCAGGTGCTGGTTTACTAATCTGAGTGAATCTTATGTTAAATTTAAGACTCGTGACACCCTGTCCAACCAATCACCCACAGTTTAGCTTATCTTAGACTTAGCTAGAAATTTAAAAATGTCTTGGTAGCAATAACAAACACTGTTAGGGTGTTTTTTTTTTTTTTATTCACTCATTCACTCCCTTATCTCTCTGTAGGATATGATGACTGTTTTCCAGTTATTGCACTGGAATGGGACACTGAAGGCTCTAAAGGAAAGGCAGTGCTCTCGACAGGTACAAACCTAGACATCTACCAGGGGTTAAAAAAGCTTTTAAGGGGTGGTCACTGAGGGCACCATAGCCTACAAGAAATTAAGACCGCAACTAAAAAGGCTGCTCACGAGCTCACAGAACATAAATTGCCTTAACAAAACCTTTTATTTCTCAAGCCATTGTTTGGACTGTTTTTCATCTTGAATCAAAGGTAAAAGAAAAAAGTTTAAACATTGCATTTGAGCATTCATTCAACCTTTATTTAAACAGATAAATCACATTGAGCCTCGAAGACTCATTTACAAGTGAGACCTGTTTGGACAGACAATAAAGTGGTGAAAATGACACGTAGGGTTTGGAGACAAAAAAAAAGTAAAAAATTCCTAACATGCTCTTAATCTTTGGCTGAAGGTTAACAGCATGATAATGGGAAAAAAAACTCGCACAACAAGCACATAATGACGCCGACATTCCACGGGCGGTGAGCATGTCCAGAGAGGCTCTAAAGCAGTTTCACAGACAGGGCGGAGCAAAGCGGAGAGGGAGAGGAGGAAATGTGTCCGCCCTTGACAAGAGCAAGTGTTGAAAGGTGATTATGTACATAAATGACTGATCAAATAAAAAGAGAGTACTAAATAATTTACAGCTGTGTATCACACATGAATGTTGACATCAGTTCCACCTCCATGTTCTGGGCCTCCCCCCCCCCCAACCTTTCAAGTTCTGTCCTTATGAACATCATATTATAGTGAAAGCAAACTTTGATAAAACATCTCTAATATTACTTACTTTCTGTTTTTCCTCCCCTCCGTATCAGAGTGTGATTTCCTATTACTCTCAGCGGGGCCTTGATGAGTACATGCGGAGCAGCATGGCTCTGGATTGGCTGGGACGGGAGCAGAGGTCACCAGGGCTTCTTGGAGCGGAGCTGCAGGTGGCGCAGCGAGAGCTGGTGCTGGCCCGACGTCAAGGCACAGAGCTACGCTTCTTCAAGGAAAAAACAGAGATCCTTAGCTTGGCTCTGAGCCAGTTATATATTCACCACACACCTGACGTCTTTGACCAGGTGTTGAGTGACACATGCCAGCAAGAACAGCTTCCTTTACACATATTGTACAACCAGGATGCAGGAGGCCAGGTATCCTCCCCCTGTGGTCTTTCACCAGCTCTTCATAATAACGCAACACAATATTTGAACACTGAGGTGCCCTGTAGAAGCTCTTCACCATGTTCACAGCAGATATTTATGCCTTTAAATAAGCTTGAATAAACGGGAAAAAAAATCTGAACAAAAATTTTTAGGCAATTTTAGTCAATAAATGTTTACATTTAAGTAGTCATGGTTGTTACAAAAAAAACCATATAATTATGTTTTTTTATGTTTCTTGGCTAATTATTAACAGAGGAACAAAAATGGCAAATATAGGTGTTTTACTTACACTTAAATTTTCAACAGCTTAATATCACATTTCCTTTATGAAAAATAAATCAAAAGGAAGCAGTTTTTTTTCTACAACTCTAATACACACACCCCACCCCACCCAAAAAGATGAAGGTCAGTTGAGTCATTTCCTAGAAAATGTGCAGGCCTGATGTAACCCAGTAACATTATTTAGGCTCAGTTTTATTATGTTTTATATATGTACAATGCAACCTGTAACATTAAGTACAGGAATTTTAAATGCCTTCATTTTAGCCTGTTTTCTTGTTAACCCACTCAGCATTTATATATATATATATATATATATATATATATATATATATATATATATGTTTGATATGCAGTATAAGGAGTAGCTTAGTTCAAATATTAGACTTGTGTGTTAAGATGTAAAATACATTTTAAATAAATAATTTTTTCTATAACTGACCTTTATCTTTGCGTTTATGTTGTGTGGTTCCAGTGTTTCCCCTAGTTAACTTGCCATTGCGGGGTGCTCATCTCATCCATGATTTTTGTTGAGGGAGGGGACGGAGACATGTCTGAGTCTGAGCGCAGCTTGTACCAACAGTTTTTGAGCGGGGGCGGGGGGGGGGGGGGTCAGCTTGAGAGAAGAGGCAACGTGAGTGCTGCCTTTAGCTTTTTAGCTAGAGAGTGTGTATTTCACGCCGCTAGCTTATTCCTATGTCAGTGTCGGGTGTTGGGGAGCAAGCTCGGATTGTTGGTTGGTTGCAGTGTTGCCAGGTGTACGATAATTATCGTATTCATACGACAATTTTGCCCTCTGTACAATCAATAATCCCAAAAAAGGCCAAATATACGATAATTTGGCCATTCCGTGAATGTGTGGTTGTAATCGATTGTCATCAGCCTCTCGCAAATGTCTGACTGAGTTTTTTTGTGAACCCTGAAGGCATCTGTGTCCGCAAACAGATGCACGATTGCCTGGAAATTCCAGCCAATCGTGCTTTTCTAAATGTTACCTACGAGTGATGTGTTTGCGTTTGCCTCAGAACAACAGCCATGATTGGCTGAATAGTCCGCTGCGCCAGCTCCATGAGTGAGAAAAAGAAAAGGAGAAGAAGCAGAGCCGATCTCTGGCTCACACTTAGAGCTCTTGCTCACACTTAGAGCTCTGGCTCACACTGGCTCAGTGTACAAGCTCTGGCTTAGACTTCGAGCTCTGGCTCACACTTAGAGCTCTGGCTCAGACTTAGAGTTCTGGCTCACACTTCGAGCTCTGGCTCACACTTCGAACTCTGGCTCACACTTAGAGTTCTGGCTCACACTTAGAGTTCTGGCTCACACTTAGAGCTCTGGCTCACACTTAGAGCTCTGGCTCACACTTAGAGTTCTGGCTC